ACATCCAGACGAAACAGAAACTACACATAAAAACAGTGCACATAACAGAGCAGCACGTTTAGATAGAATGTATGCACCATTCACACATCATATACCAGGAGTTAAACACCTACAAGAGACACTAGATTCCACTGACCATATGGCCATAATTGCATCAATAAACACTGTACATACAACTACACATTCAAGAAGATCTCCTCACTGGAAGTTTAACAACACACTTTAAAAAATCAAGAATATGTCAATGACAGGACACAACTAATTGCAACAAACCCCAGTGATATACTCGAGGGACATGTCTCACAGCTCTGGGAATCACTTCACAAAATTATACGCCAGAGAACTCAAACACTTGCAGCAGCAATACACAGAGAAAACCTAAAGCAAGAAAAGATACTGGTAAACGCCATAAAGCTTGCAATGCAAACAGACAGACACGCACCACACATTACCACATTACAAGAAGAATTAGAACTCTTACAATCACCATCGGTTTAATGGGGCTTTGCTGCGAACGAAATTAAATACTATAACACATGAAATACCCAGTAAGCAATATCTAGCAATAGAACAGAATATACAAGGCAGCAGGCAAATAGTACAAATAGTAGACAGAAACGGAAATACGCAAATAGAACCACCACAAATAGCCTTAGCCTTTGAAGAGTATTATAAAGACCTTTACACCGAGGAAAAAACACAGCCTCATGTTCAAGATAATCTCATGAATTTTGCTAAACAGGTTACAGAGGAACAGAAACAAACACTAGACGAAACTGTATCATTAGCAGACTTAACGCAGGCTGTTCAAGGGATGCAGAAAAACAAAACACCTAGTCCTGATGCCATTACCACTGAATTTTATCAAAGTTTTCTTCATCTCTTAGGTCCCCTTTTACTGAAAGTTTACTCTGAATCATATGACAAAAAAGAACTTCCATCCAGTTTCAACATGTCTTATATCACTCTTATTCCAAAAGATAACACAGATAAGACATTGTTAAAGAGCTATAGGCCAATTTCACTTTTAAATACAGACTATAAAATGTTATCTAAAGTTTTAACCAATAAACTTAAACCGATGGTGGCCACACTCATACACAAAGATCAACAATGTGGTGTACAAAACCGCAACATCCATCAACATACACATTTCATAAGGGACATTATCAATTATACACATAAAAAAACTTCCAATCCTCAATCATTTCACTGAACCAGGAAAAGGCATTTGACAGAATATCGCATTCATACCTTAACAAAATTCTTATATTTTCCAACTTGGGAATTTATTTCCAAACTTGGGTCAAAATTCTTTCCGAAAGACCTGAAAGCCAAACCCTGTTAAATCACACCCTCACCAACTCCTTTAGATTGACTAGATCTGTCAGGCAGGGATGCCCCCTATCTCCCTTATTGTACGTTATCGCTCTAGAGCCCCTTCTAGAAAAGATACGACAGGACACCAATGTCAGGGGTACATTTATACCAGGGAAGGGTGAGCGGAAACTGTGTGCGTACACTGATACCATTTTCTTTCTGAAAAATCAGTTGAAATCATTTTAGAAACTGTCTCATATTTTGGCAAAGTGAGTGGCGCAAAATTGAATGTTGAAAAGTCTACTTTGATGGGATTAGGAAAATGGAAAAACAAATCAGATTTTCCATTTGATTTAGCAACGACCAGTTGTATCAGAGTATACGGAATTGTCTTTCCCTGTCACCCAAACTACAGACACAAAACTACATGGCAGAATCTAGTCAGAAAAATAACAGATATGTTACATTTATATAAATATAAAACAGCCACCATCTTCGGTAGAAGCATAATTGTGAACACATATATAATACCAAAAATATTATATCTATGTACAGTCCTAGATCCTCCTCGTCAGACTGTCAAAGATATAAACAAGGAGATAAGACGCTTTGTTTTTGGTAGGACTTTGTATAGTATTAAACATTCAACTCTCTTTCGAAAAAAAAAACATGATGGCAGAATAAATCTCCAGGATATAGCTACTAAAATTAAAGCGCTTAGGATAAAACACGTTGGTGAAATTATACGGCACCCAGAGAAATATGCTTTAGCACATTATTACATAGGAATGAGACTATCCCGTTTAAATCCAATTAATAATGCAATCCCGCATTTTTTCGGGTCTTTGCCAAATTTTTATAAAACAATTATTGTAGCGCTTAAAGGTAATGAACACTTAATAGACTTAAAAACAAAAGAAATCGATAGGCATTTAGTCAAATCACAAGCAACTCCATTACATCTGAGGATAAAAAGAGACTATAAATATTTTATAAAAGATTATAGCGCTACATTTTTTAACCTCCACAACAAACTCATAGCGCCTAAGGCAAGGGAAGTCACTTTCAGACTTATTTATAATACGACTCCTAAAACAGAGAGAAAAGCCAACATATGAAAGAAAACAATACAGTGCCAGCTGTGTAGGCGGAATCTTCCAGAATTAGAGGAATATAGTTATTTTGAATGTAATACAATATTGCTAATTAAGAACCTCCTACAAGACAGTCTGGATACGCATACGAAACAAAGAGCAGATATTAACAGAGCCATCATGTTAAACACTATCCCTTACACCACAAGGGAAACCCATACACAACTGCTAATTCTACTATCAGAATATAGTAATCTAACCTGGACAATAAAAAACCTCTCTGTCCACAAATACAGAACCTTTTGCTCAGAAACAGTCAGGCTACTCTACCTACAAACAGTTTCAAACTTTATTGTCCCTTAAACACATTTGCCTTAAAAATATTTTTTTTTTTTAAAGAATACAATACATCACAAACCGCACACTGAAAAATTAATGAAACCGATATGATGTGTCTTATTACATATATGTATACATATATGCTCTGTATATAGACGTGTGTGTATGTGGTTTAGGGGGGGGGGGGGGGTTCAGAGTACGAAGAAGTGTTTTGCTCACGCAGTAGTCTATGTCAATTGATCATTGTGATTGGTTTCATGCACTGTCTTATCCCAGTGAGACAATACAGAACACAGTTTTGTATTACTGACCCTAGCAACATTCTGTATTTAAAATCAATAGTATGTCCACGTCTAAATCCTTCTAGCCGGAATGTTTTCCCTTTCTATTTAATTACTTCCGGTACACCTCCCCGATGCCATTTTCCCCCCCATGGCTGTCACTAAATGTACATAAATCTGCCAGTGCAAAATAGAGGATGGCCTGCCTTTGCATCGGCTGTCCAGCGACCCTGTAACGTGATAATCATGGGACCTGTTTCAAAATTTCGAAGCGAACGGTGGTGGGAAATTTGCCTGGTCCAATAGTTAGAGAGGGCGAGAAAGGAAGGGATGAGAGGGAGGGAGATAGATAGAGAGAGAGAGAGAGAGAGAGAGAGAGAGAGAGAGAGAGAGAGAGAGAGAGAGAGAGAGAGAGAGGCAAAACATGCAGCGAATATTATTATTATATTTACACGACCCTTGGGCGACCTTTCACTGTGACACTGCCTAAGGGCAGGGTATTGAAAAATTGTACTTTTAAAAGGTGGCACACAGAGAGAGAGAGAGAGAGAGAGAGAGAGAGAGAGAGAGAGAGAGAGAGAGAGAGAGAGACGGAGCGTGTAAAGTGCAATGGTTAATAAAGGGAGTGGGAAGGAGAAATGAATACATGTATGTTCTGTAAATATAATTTCTTTTGTGCATCATTCATCATGTAACTTAAGAATATGTAAATGGATTGAGTATCAAAAAAAAAAAGCTTTTTTTTTGGGGGGGGGGGGGGGGGGGGGGTTTGGCCTTTTATTAAAGGCCACATCCAGATTTTAAAAAATGATGTAATTGAAAAAGTGAAGCTCGATTATAATTTAAACATTGAAAGAAAAAACCCACCCAGATCACCTGCATCAAAAATGAATGGTCCCCCACCTTTCCTCCTGCCCTCCCCAGTACTTTTCTTCCTCCCTTTCTCCTTCTCTGTCAAATGTTGGTGAGATGTGAGGCCAGTTTGAATATGCATTATTATCACCACCCTTAATTTGTTTTTATAAATTCTGTAACAAATGTATATATGATCCAACCATATCATCATCACCACCATCTTAACAGGCTACCACCACCAACAAATAATTATGAATGGTCCCTCCTTTCCTTACCCCCTGTCATTTTCTGTCTCCTGCTTTGTTCTACTCTCTTCCAAATGTTGGTGGAATATAGATACAACGTCATAATTATTTTTACCATCTTATTATTTTTGCTTTTGTTAATGTATATTAAATATTATAAACCATGTTTTCAACCAATAAACGTATTTAAAAAAAGACATGTTTTGTTATTTGAAGCCATATCCTGGCTTTTGTCAGGGTCCTTAATATAGGCAGGCCATAAATATGGCCAATTGTCTGGGACCTCTCCACGGCGATCTTCATCCACATGGTGGCACTTTGTGTCATCGGGTGTTTATCGGTACAGATGTATGCCCCAAGAGCAGATTGTTCAGAGGTAGATATTGAGGCATTTGATGACGAGTTAGACATGGCTTATTGGGTATATGGTGCTAGACGTATATTGCATAGACCAAAAGGCACTTAGTGTGTGACGTGGTTAGCATCACACCACCCGCCTTCAGTTCATAGGACTGTACCTGGTACCCACTCAAGGCTGGGTCGACCCGGGAGCCAAGGTCATTTTTGAAAGAAAAAAAATACGGCCTGCGTCAGGAACAGAACCCATCACCTTTCAATCTGCAGCTGAGTGTCTAGCTGCTAGACCACGGCGGATCCCCCACATTAACAATACCAGTTAAAATTACAAGCCTCAACAACAACAAAATGCAGCTATCGCATTTGTGCAGCTGGCTTTATTCACTGTTAATCAACACATCAGGCTATTTACTCATTGTTTATGACACTTTGATGGTATTATTTATGTCAAATGGGACATAGGCAGGGAAACAAAAATTCCCCACTCAAGCTGTAGAATATTCCAAGATTTAATAAACTAAAAACACAGATGCAAAAGACAATATTAAAACTGTTACAAATGACAATGATTCAACAACAATATCTGCTCCATTCTCTCCACTCCCTTGATGGGAAACTGACCCATCCTCGATACCCTCCTCATGCCGAACTTCCCGAATTAAAGCCGAAATATTCATCTGGCATTGTGCGTATGTTTTGTGTAGGTTGTTTAGAATACGTTGTACCAGTATCCTGATGTCTTCGTCTGTATAGTTAGATGGTTTCTTTGCGCTGGTAACTAGTATCAGGCATTTGAGGTATGGAGTCATGCGATCACACATGAGCTCACTGGTTGCTTCTGCCTCGAATGTGTCAATACAGTCTCCAATGGTTTTTGAATTCTTGTATCCTGCAATGAAAAGTCAAGTATCAGCTAAAGTAGTCTAATGTTAATCGATCAATCGGTTTGCCCCTTCGGGATATCAACTAAAGGTTTGTCATTTCATTCTGAGATTTGAAAATCTTATTCTGGAAGACAGACCACCAACTGGATCACAAATATCCCGTTGACCTCGTAAAATCCTATAATTAGGGCAGCCGTAAACGCAACATAAGCCAGGTGTAAAGGTCGGTCATATCTGGGCAGAGATACAACCAAGTCTACGAGAGAAGTGGGAGGGGTGGAAAGAATGTTGTTGAATGTTGTATTTTGAATTAAGAATCGACATCACAGCACTCAGGACACTCCCATAAGTGCTCCGTTCCCATCTTCAGCAACAAGCAAAGAGTTCCAATTCCGATGGCACCAGTAACCGTCTAATTGTGTATCCGTCTCCTCCTTTCCATGAGTGTTGAGCGTCGGTCAGATCCCCTGATAACTCCTCGCAGCGCCTCACTCCTCAGACTATATTGATCTATCTGCACCTCCGCACTATTCATTCGTTCCCATAGGGCCCTCACAATATAAAGCTTATCATGTATCAATTCACCGCCAAGTGATGCAGAACCGGCCGTCTTTCAGCCTGCTCACTTCCCAAAACACACGAGAGAGAGAGAGAGAGAGAGTGAGAGAGAGATAGAGAGAGAGGGAGAGATAGAGAGAGAGACCTGTCAAAACACTATCACTTTCATGTGTTTGCCTGTATATGAACTGGCAGTTCTATGTATACTTCTCCTCATCGACTTTCACCTTACCCATCAAATTCATCTTATACTGCTCCTTCTGCTTTCTTCTCTTCCTATCGTCCATGCTTTCTCATCCTTTTCCTTTGTTATCTTATATTATATTACCTATGAGAAGAAGGACAACAAGAAGAAGAAGAAGAAGAAGAAGAAGAAGAAGAAGAAGAAGAAGAAGAAGAAGAAGAAGAAGAAGAAGAAGAAAGAAGAAGAAGAAAGAAGAAGAAGAAGAAGTAGAAGAAGAAGAAGAAGAAGAAGAAGAAGAAAGAAGAAGAAGAAAGAAGAAGAAGAAGAAGAAGAAGAAGAAGAAAGAAGAAGAAGAAGAAGAAGAAGAAAAAGAAGAAGAAAAGAAGAAGAAGAAGAAGAAGAAGAAGAAGAAGAAGAAGAAGAAGAAAGAAGAAGAAGAAGAAGAAGAAGAAGAAGAAAGAAAGAAGAAGAAGAAGAAGAAGAAGAAGAAGAAGAAAAAAAAGAAGAAGAAAAGAAGAAGAAGAAGAAGAAGAAGAAGAAGAAGAAGAAGAAGAAGAAGAAGAAGAAGAAGAAGAAGAAGAAGAAGAAGAAGAACAAGAAGAAGAAGAACAAGAAGAACAAGAAGAAGAAAAAGAAGAAGATGATGATGATGATGATGATGATGATGATGATGATGATGATGATGATGATGATGAAGGTTACAAAAACAACAACAGGAAGAACAATGACTAGAACAGCAGCCAGATACGAAGAACAAGAGAAGAAGAAGAAAAACAGAAACTGGGAAAAGAAGAACAAGAGGAAAAACCACAAATATAAGTAAAAGAACTAGAAACACAAGAACAAAAAGAACAAGAAGAAGAAACACTATCAGGAAAAGAACTAGAAGCACAAGAACTAGGAAAAGAAGAACAAGTGGAACAATAATAGAAGAACAAAAAGAAGAATAAAAACAATAATGAAGGGAACCAGAAAAACTAGAAAAAGAACACCCCCTCCCCGCCACCCCCCCCTCCCTCCACCCCCCTCCACCCCCCCCCCCCCCCCCCCCCCCCCCCCCCCCCCCCCAAAAAAAAGAATAAGAAAAGAGACCAGAAGAATAAAAAGTTCAAGAGCAACAACAACTGTTATTTTTACCTTTAGGCCGAGATGTTGTATGCGCTATTCCCTTTCTGTCATTCTCCAATAGCTCATCTACTATTGCCATAACATCGATATCACAATGGATGCCTTTCTCAGCCAGGCCGGCTTTGATTTGGGTCTTATATTGGCTCAGAACAGCTTTGTCTGTCGTCTTGTAGAGACTGGTCTCGAGAAAGAGGCACTTGATGTAATCTGTGGTAGCGACGCAATTCTCTGTCTCATTAGCCAAACTGGCCGTCAGTTGATCCACACACCCTCCAACGGCGTGTGCCTCTGTTGTTAATAACCCTGCAATTTAAAAGCAGTTAAAATTGTGTGTATGTTGTTGACATATTCATAAGTAAAGAAAGGACCATTGTCCACACCTTCGGACATTCTTGGCTTACAGTGAAATACAAAAATGTTATAGACCAGTGGGCACTGGGTTGGTGAATGATGTGGCCAACATCACGCCCATCTCTCTGTCTCCCTCCCACTCTGTCTCTGTCTCCCTCTATGTCTCTCTCCTTCTCTGTCTCCCTCCCACTCTGTCTCTGTCTCCCTCTATGTCTCTCTCCTTCTATGTCTCCCTCCTACTCTGGCTCCCTCCCTCTCTCTCTGTCTCTGTCTCCCTCTATGTCTCTCTCCTTCTATGTCTCCCTCCTTCTCTGGCTCCCTCCCTCTCTCTCTGTCTCTGTCTCCCTCTATGTCTCTCTCCTTCTATGTCTCCCTCCTTCTCTGGCTCCCTCCCTCTCTCTCCGTCTCTGTCTCCCTCTATGTCTCTCTCCTTCTCTCTGTCTCCCCCCCCTCTCTCTCTGTCTCTGTCTCCCTCTATGTCTCTCTCCTTCTCTGTCTCCCTCCCCCCTCTCTCTCTGTCTCTGTCTCCCTCTATGTCTCTCTCCTTCTCTCTGTCTCCCTCCCCCCTCTCTCTCTCTGTCTCTGTCTCCCTCTATGTCTCTCTCCTTCTCTGTCTCCCTCCAAGTCTCTGTATTTCTCTCTCTAGTTGTGCGTCTCACAGATAGTTCGGTATCATATGCAGACTGACAGATAGACTGAATGTGTGAGAAGGTTTTGGGCACCACTCAAAAGAGAAGGAGGAGGAGGAGGAATGAGAAGAAGAAAAAAAAAAAGAAGAAGAAGAAGAAGAAGAAGAAGAAGAAGAAGAAGAAGAAGAAGAAGAAGAAGAAGAAGAAGAAGAAGAAGAAGAAGAAGAAGAAGAATCACAGTTAGGTGATATTTACCTTGCATAAAAATCAAACATGCCGCCATGATGATTAACTGCAACATTTTGACAGTTGTAGATTACAGCTATCTTACAATTTTTAATCGTGAAAAATTGGCAGCCAAAGATTCATAAAAACAACTGTCTACATATGTTTATTGTTATTTTTATTATTATAACATTTATTATTATTGTTATTATTATTATTTTAAACTGTAGACATATTCGAAATCTTCACCAGTATAGCGAAATGAGTGTACGTTTTCAATATTTATAGCGTCCACAATTTTCGTAGATAAATACGTTTTCGGTGAATTATGATGACCACTTGCGTGGTACGAGATCCTGTTTACAGAACTAAAACCGGGGAACTTCGCTAGTGCTAAAAAGGAAGTGCACTTGACAACGTCATACAAATTTAGGAGTGTTGCTAAACGCTGAGATCTCGTATAGTTCTTTTAAAAATCTTCGTGCGTTGGTAGGCAAAGGCTTTTAATTTTAGAGTAAAGTCAGTTCCAGAAGTTGTGACAAACTTTAGAATTTTCTAATTCAGTAACCGTTCTTTGTAAGCTGTTTAAAAATTACTATGCGACCTGGTAATAACCATGTACTTGTAATAATATATTTGTTATGTAAATAAACGTCTAGTTTTTCATGTTGCCTTTCTTTTCTTCACTGTTCTCCAAACTAGGCAGCAGGTGTAAAGTAACTATGCAGTGGATACAAACCCACTGTGAAGTTTCTAGAAATGTGTAAAGTAACTATGCAGTGGATACCATCCCACTGTGAAGTTCCTGGAAATGAAAGCGCTGAGAAACTAACTAAGGAAGGTGCAAATGAAGAACAACCTGACGTTCCAGACAGTTTTCAGCAAAACAAGAGAATAATCAAATCCATCAAAAAGCCACAAAAA